AGGTCACACTGGAGAAAGGCCTTATGAGTACAGTGAATATGGGAAAGCTTTTAGCAGTATTAACAGCCTAGGTGAATATGAAGCTTTGCGCACTGAAGAAAGGCCCTATGCGCGCAATGAATGTGGAAATCCTGTTACCAATAGCACTGCCGTCTATTATGATCAGAGCCTTCTCACAGCAGAAAGGCCTTATGAGTGCAATGAGTGTGGGAAATCTTTTACTCACATCAGTAACTTTCATTGTCATCGGAGAATTCACACTGGAGAAAAGCCTTATAAATGTAGTGAATGTGGAAAGTCTTTTTCAACTTTCAATGCTCGCAAATATCATCATTACAGAGTGCACTCTGGAGAAAGGCCTCATCACTGCAGTGAATGTGGGAAATCTTTTATCACTTTGTCTCACCTTCAGAAGTCATCAGAGGGTTCATACAGGAGAAAGCCTTATAAATGCAATGAATGTGGGAAATCTTTTGCCCAGAGCGGTAGCCTTCTTTCTCACCAGAGCATTCACTCTGAAGATAAGCCTTATATATGTGGTGAATGTGGGAAAGCTTACAACTGTTTCATGAAACTTTGTCTTCATCAAAGAGTGCACACTGGAGAAAGGCCTTTTCGCTGCAGTGAATGTGGGAAATCTTATACCAGGCAAAGTGCACTTTGTCAGCATCGGAGAATTCATAGAGGAGAAAAGCCTCATAAATGCAGTGAATGTGGGATGACTTTCAACCAAAGTGGAACTCTCCGAATTCATCAGAGAGTTCACACTGGAGAAAAACCTTTTAAATGCAGTGAATGTGGGAAATCTTTTACCACTAACTTTCAACTTCACACTCATCGGAGGGTTCACACAGGAGAAAAGCCTTATAAATGCAATGAATGTGGGAAATCTTTTACCTCTAAGTCTTACCTTCACACTCATCAGAGAGTTCACACAGGAGAAAAGCCTTATAAATGCAATGATTGTGGGAAATCTTTTACCACTAAGTTCCAACTTCACAGACATCAGAGAGCTCACACTGGAGAACAGCCTTATAAATGCAGTGAATGTGGGAAATCTTTTACCAGTAACAAAAAACTTTGTCATCATCAGAGAGTTCACACTGGAGAAAAGTCTTATAAATGCAGTAAATGTGGGAAATCTTTTACCAGTAACAGTAAACTTTGTCATCATCAGAGAGTTCATACAGGAGAAAAGCCTTATAAATGTAGTGAATGTGGGAAAACTTTCCGTGAAAACAAAGCTCTCCAAAATCATCAGAGAGTCCACACTGGAGAAAAGCCTTTTAAATGCAGTGAATGTGGGAAATCTTTTACCAGGAGCGATGTCCATCGCCGTCATCAGAGAAATCATGCAGGACTGAAGCCTTATAAATGCAGTGACTGTGGGAAAACTTTTCCTGAAAACAAAGCTCTTCAAAATCATCAGAGTGTTCATAGAGGAGAAAAGCCTTATAAATGCAGTGACTGTGGGAAATCTTTTACCTGTAATAGTAAACTTTGTCGTCATCAGAGAGTTCATACAGGAGAAAAGCCTTATAAATGTAGTGAATGTGGGAAAACTTTCATTGAGAACAGGGCTCTCCAAAGTCATCAGCGATTTCACACTGGAGAAAAGGCTTTTAATATGCAGTGAATGTGGGAAATCTTTTACCAGAAGCGATGTCCATTGCCGTCATCAGAGAAGTCATACAAGACAAAAGCCTTATAAATGCATTAACTCTGGGAAATTATATACCAGTAGCACCAACCTTCACTATCAGAGAGTTCATATAGTAGAAAATGCTTATAAATCCATTGAATGTGGACAATCTTTAACAACTAACTCTCACCTTCATTGTCATTAGAGAGTTCACACAGGAGATTGTCGTATGAGTGTAATTGAGATATCTCTCAGCCTAATTTGTAAATTTGCTGTGCACAACAGAGTCCGAATGTGATAAATTTCCCAGATGTGTTGAAAATGTAGTTTCTTAGTTAGGACTTAAGAATTGTATAAGAAAATATGTGAAGTCTCATTAGTCTGAAATTTGTCTCATATTTGAATCACATACATTGTGTATCCTACCCGCAACTATTTTATCTGTTCTCTTTGCTTGTTTGCATGTTGGAATCATATGTATGTATGTTGGACTTCTTAACATAAAGAGCTATTTTGCCAGGTGGAAAAACTGCCAGTCTCACGGCTCTTTCCTTGCAAAATAATGAAGGCTTTTCCGTAAGACTTCTTTAATGCTGGGTGTTCCATTTACTGTGTTGGTTAGTTTATATGGAGATCGGGGCTCTCCAAGCATGGTTCGGTGAAAAACTTATATGGGCTCTGAAACATTTTGCCCTTGGGGGATGACTATCGTGTAGAAATTAGCTCAGTAGTTTTTGCCAAATTTATATTGCAACCCATATTTTCCCAGGAAATACAGTGGACTCTGTAGTCCTCATGTGAAAATGGATGCATTGAGACACAGAGATCACTCCTAAGAGGGGGTAGCTATGACAACCTGAAGTATATCTGGGAGTAGCGTTAATTTTTTTCCTGTTTTCAAGGAATGGTAAGACATTTGAAGGGATTCTTTTCCCCAGGTGTTGCAGAGGTCCAAGCCCTTTAATGCCTTCAATTCCATGGGTGATAGGTACTGGTTGGAGGACCATCGCAGTGAGGGGACCCCTTCAACTGCAGAAACACTCACATAATTTCTGTTGGACCAGACTGCAGCCCATTAGATGGGATGGTCTTCATCTAAACTTGTACCCAGACATCTTTTTTTGAGGAAGAGACTACAGGAGTCATGTGTACACAGACCTGAGGGACATTGGGTTTGTTTATCTTCTGTGCAGCAGTCATTGTCACTCATTATAATCAAGAAGTTTTGTGGCTTCATATATCTTCTCAGATGTTCCCATTAGAGCCGTTGGTGCTCTGGCAGCAAAACGAAGAAGAAAACAAAGTGTGTCTTTAGGGCGGAGATATGACTTTTGTGACCCAGTCAGCATTCCAGTGGGTTTGGGTGAAAGTTCTTCATTGTTTGTTACATTTTCTGTCACTGAGATGAGACTCGGCCACAGCGCATGAGAATGTGGATTGAATATAGAGTTGAAAAAGCTGTTGTTCCAAAGTAAGTCACATTTTTTTTATCGTTTTTTTTTTCATTTCTTTTATCTTGAACTATTTTTAACAGCTGTAATGAGGAAATTACATGTGTTAAGTGTAGTGTTTCATAAATCTTGACATGTGCAAGAAAATGAAACCATCATTATACTCATAATACTTAGCATATCTATGACTGTGAAGTTGCTTCATGACCTCATTTAATCTGTCCTTGTTCTTCACAGCTTTCCTGATAACCATGATTTTACATTCCATTTTAAGAGGGAACTCTGCTTTTTCTAAATATTTTTCCGCTTTAATTTATATTTCATAAACTCTTGGACATTTATTAAAGATACATTAGTAACTGATCTTTTTTTTTTTTTTTTTGGTAGATAGTCTTTTTGTTGTTGTTGTTAATCCTCACCCAAGGATATTTTTCTAGTGATTTTTTTTCTTTTTGAGAGTGTAAGAGAGAGAGGGTAACACAGAGAGAAACATTGATATTAAGGATACACATTCATTGGTTACCTCCTGCATCAATGGTGACCAAGGCACCGACTGGGAATGAGTCTTCAACCAAGGATTGTGCCTTAGCTAGAATCGAACCTGGGACCCTTTGGATTGTAGGCCTTTGCTCCATCCAGAGCCAAATCGGCCAGGCCTCTGGTAGATATTCTTCTCTTTGAATATATCACTATTATGTCCATTTTAATAAATATTTCGTTATTTCTATTAAAGGTGGTTCAAACATTTTTGTATAATTCTTTATATGGATATAAATGTTATTTACCTTTGTCAGTTGGACATCTCCCACAGGCTCCTGGACTGCAAGAGGGCACAGGGCCGACTGAGGGATCGCCCCTGAGTGTATGAATTTCATGCACCAGGCCTCTATTTTAAACATATGAACCAGAATATCATGGTTCCATTCACAGTCACGGAAGATACCTGAGCCCCGTCTTGAACCGCATTGTGGGGTATGCAGGAGGTAGCTGATCAATGATTCTCTCTTAGCATTGATTTTTTTCTCTCTCTCCTTCAATCTCCTTTGAATTCCAGTATCTCCCTGCAGAGACCTTCCCCGGCCAGGCACTTCTCACTCCCCGAGGCTCACAAGGACATTTGTCTTTGGGTGCAGTTTACTAAGAAATGGAACCTATAAGAAGCCAGTGACTCTGCTGCAGGGAGGCAGGTGCTGTGTGCACTCAGGTGTCATTGTGGTGGGCCCCACTTGGGAATCTCCAGCAGCTTCACTAGAGCTCCCTGAATCTCAGTTGGCTAAATGTGACATGAGGTGATTGATGGCGCTTACTCTGGCCTTCCAACATCAATAAAAGTAACAAGCTGACTACTTGTTGCCAGGATTTTATTGTTAGATTTTTGAGTATTTACTCTTTCAATTCTCACAGCAACCTGGACAAGTAGAAACTCACATCAAATTCCTCAACATATTCAGTATCTGAGAAATGAAGTCAGCTCTCCAATTTTACACCACAGACAAGTGTCCGATTCAAGAGCTGGATTTTAACCCATTGTTTTCTTCAGCGTCAGGCACAGTCTCTACCGCTGACGTGCAGCCCTCACTGGGTCAGGTACAGTCTGAGAACCAGGGTGGCTCAGCTGCAGCTCCTGTTTCCATGGTTTCAGTTGTTTCCTCCCATTCTCTTTACATCTCAAAGCAATTCCCTTGGCCTCCCTGTGTTCAGGGTAATGCCATCATTTCTTAGCTGCTGTGGTTCCTCCAGGGGAACCTGCTTTCAGAGTGAGCTGCTGTTTGTCTGCCTGCCATTTGATCCCGGCACAGAGTTTGACCATAAGGAGACCTTGGTAATTAGGGCTGGGTCTCTGCACCTTCCCCTACATTTTGAGTATCCTGTGGGGATTACATCCACTGTGATGAATTTCATGCCTCAGGTTGAACTTCAAGTGATGTTCCTATGTGGCAGTGACATTCACCCTGCAGGAGTGGATACAATTGGACATGAATTCTGGGACCTAACATTGGGAAGTGATGCTGTAGTTCTAAAAGATTCTGGTCTCATTGGACGGGTGCTCATCTCTTATTCATGGATAGGACCAACAGGCCCATGTGATTCTGCCCTCTATGTCCCTACTGGCTACATGAGACAATGGCTCTAACCATGTTTTCCCTGCAACCCAGGTCATGTTCTGAACTGAAGTCCTCCTTCCCATTCAACTATGTCTGCACCATGGATCTTGGGTTGGATGAGAAACAAAGTTGCCCCAGACATCACCTGCACAGAAGGCGCTACAGGACCCTTACTATACTTTGCGTGTTCCTGGACTGTTTGCCCATAAATCCAGTTCTTGAGTCAACTGAGAAATACAGGATACTGGCCTATGCGCATAGAAACTACATTACCCAGAAGGCCACACATGGAATGCCATCAGCCTGGGCCAATGAGGGTCAGAGAAGGCATTTGCTTTTGGCCCCTTCTGTAGGGCGGGACAGGTAATTCTTGTGGCGGGATTACCTCTTCACAGGTTTTTGTCTTAGGCAGTGAGGTTTTCCAATTCCACACTCTTGTGGAGAAGGACTGAGAGTGGTGCTCCCCGCCACACAGCCAATGGTGGGAGTCTCCAGTGGTGCTCACAGCTCACACTTGGGATTGAAGCTCGGAGTCACCACCCGAATTCACGCCAGGACAGGGACAGGGACCGCCATTCCAGCAGCTGCTTCTACTCCCACCGCTTCCGTCTAGCTCAGCCCACAAAGTGCAATGGCAGTGCCCATTTGGAGGAGATGGGCTGAGGTGAGTTCGAGTCCCCCAGGCCCTCACCGCCTCCTCACACACACACACCACAGCCTGCGGAGGTCGCCTGTCCGTCCTGCAGCTCAGTCCCACGTGGAGGACCGTGAGGAAGGTGGAGGGGAGAGAGGAGTGTTGTGGCTACTGAGGACACAGCAAGTGCAGGGCAGAGAGGACAGGGGTGACTTGCATCTGAAGGTCCCTGTGGATGTGGGCTGTGAGTATTGACGGAAAAAGCAGAGGCTGCAGGGAGGACGGCACAGACTCATTCGGGGCTTTCCCGGCTGTGGGGTCCATCAGGGGCCTGGGGTGTCCCTGGTTCCGGCTGGACTCCAAGCTCTCTACACGCCATATGCTAAGTTCATGGGTGTGTCCAGCGAGATCCAGTGGCATTGGAGTAGGAAGGGGGCAGAGCTGAGGGAGTGAACCTGGGGTCTGAACATGGGAAGGGGATGAACATTACCCAGTGGTGAGCACATCTGGAGGAACTGTGAGCTGATGTTCCCGGGATCTGCTTTGGGGACTTAAAAGTGAAGCATAAACCCACACTTGGCTTTGTCTTGGAGGCAGGATCTAGGAAACTGCAGTGGTGTTTCTTGGCAGGAAGGATGGGTCCCTGCAGGCATCGCCCAAACCTTAAATGGCATTGCCCTCTCCCCTCCCATCTCCCAATTCTTCCCTCCCAACCCAGCTGCTCTGCTGAGGGCCATCACATTGTGCAATGGGACTGTCATGAGAGAGCATCCTGCACTGGCATTAAGGCCTGATGTCCACAGTAACCAGAGGTCCCAGAGGAGGTTGAGGATGGGGAAGGTGTGTAAGTAGTAGCATTACTGGTTCTCAGAAAAACAGCTCTGGTTACAGTTGTCTCCATTCTGACAGGTTTGCGTGACCTTTGAGGACATTGCCCTGTACTTCTCCAGGGAGGAATGGAGCCTCCTTGATGAGGGTCAGAGACAGCTGTACCTGAATGTGATGCTGGAGAACTTTGAACTTCTATCCTCCCTGGGTAAGACCCTCACTCTCACCAGTGACCTGGACATGGTGTTGCAATTTCGCAGGCCCCAGAACCTAGCGTGTGCTCTGTCCTCCCATGTAGCCTGTGGTACTGCTTCATTTTTCCAGTTTCCTGGGTAATTGCTGTCCTTGGGTGGGTTGGTCTATTTCCACTGCTCCCTTCTATTACTGAAGTCCCAGTACTCCCCGCTGTACTAAATGCACAGGTAAGGACTTGTGGTTGATGGTGTTGCAGGAAGCCCAAGGGATTCTACTTTGATCAGTGATGAAAGCATTTTCAATATTCCTATTGGTCATGTATATATATTTTTTCAAGAATTGTGTATACATCCTTATCCTGTTTATTAACTTTATTTTTTGGTTAAAGATTCTTTTTTTTTTTTTAAAATATATTTTATTGATTTTTTACAGAGAGGAAGGGAGAGAGATAGAGAGTTAGAAACATCGATGAGAGAGTAACATCGATCAGCTGCCTCCTGAACATCTCCTACTGGGGATGTGCCCGCAACCAAGGTACATGCCCTTGACCGGAATCGAACCTGGGACCTTTCAGTCCACAAGCCGACGCTCTATCCACTGAGCCAAACCGGTTTCGGCTAAAGATTCTTTTGATTACCTTGTATATTTTATATATTAACTAGAGGCCTGATGCACAGATTTGTGCACTGTGATTCCTAGGAGTGGAATCACTGAATTAAATGGCAATTCCATACTAAAATTTTTGCAAAAACTCTGAACTGATTTCCATAATGGCTGTACCAATTTGCATTCCCACCAGGGGTGTACTGAGGTGTCGGTAACTTATTATTGTCTTCACTAGCTGTGCATAGACAGAGACCCCTAAATCTTGGTGACCTTTGAAGCTCTTGCAAAGTTGGGAGCTGTGCACCACCCAGTTAATCTAGATAATGGTAGCTAAAGAATCCTCCCCACCTTAATTCATTTAATTACTCATGTAAATCCTTGTTGATAAGATAGTCTGCCTATTATTGGAAATTGCCTACTGATGACCTAGTCTGTGTGTTACTGGAACTTGCCTGCTAAGGGCTATCCTCTACCAAAAAAAGATTGGCCAGGCCTGAGCTCCAGTGGAAGTCCTTGGGGGAAGTTCTTCTTGAGTTGGACTTGTCTGCCTGGCTCCCCAATATTTCCAAATTATCTCATGTCTCTAGTCTCTTTTCTTTCATCTGTGTGCGGCTCCACTTTCAGATCCTGAACCCTGAACCACGCAGGACGTGGAGGGGGAAAACACACACAAGACTGGGGTTCCCATTTCTCTACATCTTCCCCAGCACTTGTCATTTGTTGATTTGCTGATTGCAGCCATTCTAACAGTGCTGGGGTGGTATCTAATTGTTGCTTTAATTTTCATCTCTCCATTGATCAGTCACTTTACGCATTTTTCACAGGTTTCTTGGCCATCTTATCCACACTGCAGCCCAGGCAGAGCTGACACTTTGGATGGCATCAGCAGCAGATGCTCTTAAGTATGAGTGTCTGTTTTGTGACATTAACTTTGAACAGTAATGGATTCAGTGGAGGCAGGATAGAGGCAGTTAGAGACTTGAGCAACTTCTACAAGCTACATTTGACCTGAAGGAGACACATGCCAAAAGTCATGAATGAAGGAACAATGCCTGCCATTCAGAAAGAGCTGGTCCTGTAAGAAAGATATACAAAACCAGCCACACGGGTACATGAGAAACAAACTTGCCCTCAAAATAACGTCCCATGAAGTCGCTTAAGGGGCCTGAGTATACTTGGTGTCTGCTTGGGCTATTTGCCCGTAAATCCAGTCCTGGAGTCAGCTGAGGAAATAGGGGATAATGGCCTTGGAGCTTAGGTACTACATTACCCAGAAGGCCCCGCATGGAATGCCATCAGGTTGAACCAATGGAGGCTCAGAGAAGGCTTTTCCGGTTGGTTACTTCTGTAGGGCGGGACCGGTAGTCCTCTTGATGAAATTTTGACTTTTCAGGTTTTTGTCCCAGTCGGTGAGGTTTTCCTAGTCCACAGTTCCGTGGAGAAGGCTGGAGTGTGATGCTCCTCGCCACACAGCCAATGGTGGGAGCCTCCAGTGGTGCTCACAGCTCACACTTGACATTAACGCTCAGAGTCACCACCCGGACCCACGCCAGGGCCGGGACAGGGACCGCCATTCCTGCAGCGGCTTCTACTCCCGCCCCGCTCAGCCCACAGAGTGCAATGGCATTGCCCCCGATGAGGAGACGGGCTGAGGTGAGTTGAGTCCCCCAGGCCCTCACCGCCTCCTCACACAGACACCACAGCCTGGGGAGGGCGCCTGTCCCGTCCTGCAGCTCAGTCCCGCGTGGAGGACCGTGAGGAAGGCGGAGGGGAGAGAGGAGTGTTGTGTCTTCTGAGGACACAGCAGGTGCAGGGCAGAGAGGACAGGGGTGACTTCCATCTGGAGGTCCCTGAGGATGTGGGCTGTGAGTATTGACGGAAAGATCAGAGGCTGCAGGGAGGACGTCACAGACTCATTCGGGGCTTTCCCGGCTGTGGGGTCCATCAGGGGCCTGGGGTGGTTCTGGATCCGGCTGTACTACAAGCTCTCTACACGCCATATGCCAAGTTCATGGGCGAGTCCAGCGAGATCCAGTGGCATTGGAGCAGGAAGGGGGCAGAGTGGAGGGAGTAAACCTGGGGTCTGAACATGGGAAGGGGATAAACATTACCCAGTGGTGTGCACATCTGGAGGAATTGTGAGCTGATGTCCCCGGGATCTGCTTTGGGGACTTAAAGGTGAAGCATAAATCCATTCTTGGCTTTGTCTTGGCCACAGAATCCAGGAGACTGCAGTGGTGTCGCTTGACTGGAAGGCTGGGGCTCTGCAGGCATCACCCAGACCTTAAATGGCATTGCTTGCTCCCCTCCATTCTCCCAAACTTTCCCTCCCACCCAATCAGGCTGCTCTGCTGAGGGCCATGCAGTCATTAATGGGACTGTTTGGGTCGCTCGGCCTTTCCTGCGCCCTCTTGCAATCTGGGACACCTTGGGGGATGTTGGACTGCGGATTTGGCCCCATCCTCGCAGGCCAGGCCAAGGGACCCCACCAGTGCACAAATCTGTGCACTGGGCCTCCACTATGCATATAAGATGTTTGGTTAATCTCTTGGTGCTCTCCCCTCTTCCCATTTCCCTCGGTCATTCATGAGTCTGTTCCTTGTTTCCATGCCTGTGCTTTGAGCGTGTGCCCCCTGGTAGTCAGTTTGTGACATACCTACTGGTCAAATGGTTGGTTGGTCGATTATGCTTTTATATATATAGATTGCTTATTACATGCAAAACACATATATTTCCATGTGCTTAATTGTGCTTCTCAGATACTGCTCTCTCAGGCCTGCTTTTCTACGAAGTCCATAATTTTGGAAACAGTGCATTCAGCAGTCTAGTGCAACCATTTTTCTAGCAAGCTCAGATGCTTGTTACTAGTGCTTAGCAATAAAGTATTTTTAATGAAGTTGTCTCAAGTTTGCTTTTGAGACACAATCATTGCATTATTAGCCTGCAGTATAGATAGTGTTCACATACCTTTATTATTCCCTGGGCACTCCACCTATTTGTATGAATTTCTGTCTATATTGCAATATTCTCTTTATTGTGCTGATCAGAACAAAATCCACAATCCCTCCAAGCGATTTCCTCATATGATTTGGGAGTATTTCCTTTCATTCTCTAGATTTCCTTGCATTTCATTTTGTTTATTGCTGTTGTGCTGTGAAGAAGCTTTTTTTTTTATTTCTTCCAATCTGGACTATTTTTTGTGTTTGTTTTTTCTATTTTGCCTGACAGTTGTTGTACATTCAGAAACTCCTGTCCAAAACAAATCTCCAAAACTTTTTCTCTAAGTTGTCCTGAGCAGTTTTAAGTTTTAGTGCTGATATTTAATTCTGTCCTGCAGGTTGAGTTAAATTTTATCAGTGGTGTCCAGTATTGTTGTTTTTACATGTGACTATTGATTTTTAGCAGCACCATTCATTGAAGAAACTATCTTTCCCTTCCTCTGTGTCTTGCAGCTTTGACAAAGATTACTTGAAGGGATGTGCCTGGGTTTATTTCTGTGTTTTCTGTTCTGCTCTATTGATATATATGTCTCTATGTCCGCAACAACATATTTTGCTTGCTTTCTCTTTGTAATAAATTGAAGTCAGAAAGTATGATACCACCAGCTTTGTTCTTGCTCAAGTTTGTTTTTGCTATTCGAGTTTTTAGTTCCATACATTTCAAGATTCTCTTTTCATTTCTTCATAAAATACCATAAAAATTATCCTCAGCGTTGTATTAATCTATAGAATGCATTGCGTATTAGCCATTGCAATTAGACAAGAAGAAGAAATAAAAGGCATCAAAAGTGGAAAAGAGGAAGTAAAACTGTCCTTATTTGCAGACGACATGATATTATACATACAAAACCCTAGAGACTCCATCAAAAAACTACTAGACTTAATACACGAATTTGGCAATGTAGCAGGATACAAAATTAACCCTAAGAAATCTGAGGCATTTCTATACACCAATAGTGAACTTTCAGAAAGAGAGACTAAAAAAAACAATCCCATTTACCATCGCACCAAAAAAATTAAGCTACCTAGGAATAAACTTAACTAAAGAGGTAAAAGACCTCTACTCAGAAAACTACAGGAAATTGAAAAAAGAGATAGAGGAAGACATAAACAGATGGAAGAACATACTGTGTTCATGGATTGGTAGAATCAACATCATCAAAATGTCCATACTACCCAAATCAATCTATAAATTCAACGCACTTCCCATTAAAATACCAACAGCATACTTCACAGATCTACAACGAACTCTCCAAAAATTCATCTTGAATAAAAAAAGACCCCGAATAGCTGCAGAAATCCTGAGAAAGAACAAAGTAGGTGGGATCTCAATACCAGATATCAAGCTGTATTACAAAGCCACTGTTCTCAAAACTGCCTGGTACTGGCACAAGAACAGGCATATAGATCAATGGAATAGAATAGAAAACCCAGAAATCGACCCGCACCAATATGCTCAATTAATATTTGACAAAGGAGTTAAGAACATACAATGGAGCCAAGATAGTCTCTTCAACAAATGGTGTTAGGAAAATTGGACAGATATATGCAAGAAAATGAAACTAGACCCCCAGCTTACACCATACACAAAAATAAACTCAAAATGGATAAAGGACTTAAATGTACGATGGGAAACCATAAAAATTCTAGAAGAATCCGAAGGCAATAAAATCTCAGACATATGTTGAAGCAATTTCTTCACTGATACAGCTCCTAGGGCACTTGAAACTAAAGAGAAAATGAACAAATAGGACTACATCAAAATAAAAAGCTTCTGCACAGCAAAAGAAACCAACAAGAAAACCCACTACATGGGAAAACATATTTGCCAATGTCATATCTGATAAGGGCCTAATCTCCAAAATTTATAGGGAACTCATACAACTTAACAAAAGGAAGATAAACAATCCAATGAAAAAATGGGCAAAGGATCTAAATAGACACCTTTCAAAAGGGGACATTCAGAAAGCCAAGAGACATATGAAAACATGCTCAAAGTCACTAATCATCCGAGAGATGCAAATCAAAACAACAATGAGGTACCATCTCCCACCTGTCAGACTGGCTATCATCAACAAATCAACAAACGACAAGTGCTGGAGAGAATGTGGAGAAAAAGGAACACTCGTGCACTCCTGGTGGGAATGCAGACTGGTGCAGCCACTATGGAAGACAGTATGGAGTTTCCTCAAAAAACTAAAAATGGAACTCCCATTTGACCCTGTGATCCCTCTTCTAGGAATATATCCCAGGAAACCAGAAACACCAATCAGAAAAGATATATGCACCCATATGTTCATAGCAGCACAATTCACCATAGCTAAGATCTTTTCATTTCTTCGTAAAATACCATAAAAATTATCCTCAGCATTCTATTAATCTATAGAATGTATTGTGTACTATGGATATCTTCACTATATTTCTTTTTTTTTTAAATATATTTTATTGATTTTTTACAGAGAGGAAGGGAGAGAGAGATAGAGAGCTAGAAACATCAATGGGAGAGAAACATTGATCAGCTGCCTCCTGCATCTCCCACTGGGGTTGTGCCCGCAACCCAGGCACATGCCCTTGACTGGAATCGAACCTGGGACCCTTCAGTCCGCAGGCCGACGCTCTATCCACTGAGCCAAACTGGTTTCGGCTTCACTATATTTCTTTTTAAAAATTCTTTAATGTTTAAAGTATTACATATTGTATTACATATGTGTCTTCTTTCCCCCATTGACTATAAATGAGTGACATGATGTGATATTTATCTTTCTCCGACTGGCTTATTTTGCTTAGAGTAATGTGTTGCATGTGGGTTTCCCCTCCACGTCCCACGTGGTTCAGGGTTCAGGATCTGAAAGCGGAGCCGCACAAAATGAAAGAAAAGAGACAAGAGACATGAGATAATTTGGAAACATTGGGGAGCTAGGCGGGCAAGTCCAACTCAGGGAGAAGGACTTCCCCCGAGGACTTCCACTGATGCTAAGGCCTCACCAACCTTTTATTGATGTTGGGATAGCCCCTAGATAGGGAATTTCCAGTAACACACAAACTAGGTCATCAGTAGGCAATTTCCAATAACAGGCAGACTATCTTATCATCAAGGATTTACATGACTATCTAATCAATAAGGAATTAAATGAATTAAGGTGGGGAGGATTCTTCAGCTACCATTATCTAGATCAGTGATTCCCAAAGTGGGCGCTACCACCCCAGGGGGGCGGTGATGGCCACAGGTGCATTTGTTTTAACTTTTTTTTGTATTACCTTTCTATTCTGAGTTCAATAAATAGTTTCATAATTTCAAACTTCAATGTTTCTAATTCACACCTTTCTTTACTATATTTTACGAAAAAGGTAGAAACATTAATACATATATCTTTCTGTTTAATTGCTATTAAAATTAAAAAAAAATTAATTTCCAGGGGGCGCTGAGTAATATTTTTTCTGGAAAGGGGGCGGTAGGCCAAATAAGTTTGGGAACCACTGATCTAGATTAACTGGGTGGTGCACAGCTCTGACCTTTGCTAGGGCTTCAAAGGTCACCAGCTTTGGGGGTCTCTACGCTTCTTAGCTAGTGAAGACAATAAGTGGTCTCCGACATAATGCTCTACAGGTCCATCCATGCTGTTTCTTTTTTTTTTTTTTTCTGTTCATCAGATTATTTATTCACTTGATTCTTAGATTCACTTGTTGATAGATGCATATTTGTTGTTCATAATTTGTATCTTTACCTTTTTCTTCCTCTTCCTCCTCTAAAAGGATACCTTTCAGCATTTCATATAATCCTGGTTTGGTGGTGATGAACTCCTTTAGCTTTTCCTTATCTGTGAAGCTCTTTATCTGACCTTCAGTTCTGAATGATAGCTTTGCTGGATAAAGTAATCTTGGTTGCAGGTTCTTGCTATTCATCACTTTGAATATTTCTTGCCACTTCCTTCTGGCCTGCAAAGTTTCTATTGAGAAATCAGCTGACAGTCGTATGGGTATTCCCTTGTAGGTAACTGAGTTTCTTTCTCTTGCTGTTTTTAAGATTCTCTCTTTATCTTTTGCTCTTGGCAT